TGGGAAAGTGGTAAACCGAACTTAAAAGCATCTTTTGTGCATTCGGAAATTAACTTTTTTCTATCGCGTTAACAACAGCTTTCTCAGAAACATTGACAAAACAAAAGGCGACCGTTTTGAAGTTCAGCGTCCCTGCTCTAATCACCTCGTGCGAGGAGATTACTGCGAGATATTCATAATATTCTATGTAATTTTAAATTCACAGTAGGATTTTCACATCTGACTTCCCACTTGGAAAAATTGATTGATTCGTCTATTCAGCTTCTCAATGTATATTATTCATTCAAATTAATCTAGGGAAATTCTTTACCATAAAATTTCTAGCAAAGTGTTTTAAACTAAGAAAGTTATTTGGACCATCAAAAGGACTCAAAGGAAATCGACAACCTCATTTTAAAACCGAGAGGGAGAAACGAAACGAACCCTGACATCTTGAAGTTTTCTGTTTCCAGTTGCATATAAAAAAAACATCCTAAACTTTTACAAACTTTTAACCTTTTTCATTGTCCAAAGATGCTAAATTTTAGGACTGATTTTCAACTGTCAGGCTGGTGTGCAGTAAAGGAAACAGGTCTCATGCAAGAATCAGTTGACAGTGAAGGCTATTCACTCAGTTCATGGTCCTTTATTCTTCAAGGAAAGGCAAAACTAAAGCCATAACTTAGTCAGTCGATACTCACATAGACGTCTTATAATATTTTTGAGTTGACGTACCACAAATAACGCGAGACTTTTCTCTTCTTCATGTCGTTCTATTGGGAAAGAATATGACGCCCTCTCCTCTTGCAAAAGACTTGGGGGTCTGGATCGACTCTACTGTAACCTTTGACGACCACGTATCTAAACTGCCCTCAAGTAGTCTGTACAATTTACGTCGTATCAGTAGAATGAAACATCTTTTGGACAAAAAAACTCTTACTTTGATTATCAATGCTCTTATTTTCAGAAGGCTTTTCTATTTTTCTACCGTATGGGGTAATATCTTCAGCAAAAATATTTCTAAGCTCAAACTCATTCAGAACTTAGCTTCAT